GTTATTTAATTTATGTTGAACATGACAATGTGACATTTATTTTTATTTTTATATTGATTTTTATTTGATTATTATTGTTGTTTTTTTTATTATTTTTGTTTTGGTTTTATTATATTGATCTGACTTAATAGCATTCATAATACTCTTGACATTATTAATTCTCTGAATAAATTTATGATATGAATATATTCTTCAGATTGTATTTGTAATGTTGAACGTCTAAATAATAATCTTTTAAATATCTATGACTAAATATTTGCACACCTTTAAGAGGTTATATTACAGCGTACTCATGTATTATATGATGTTCTTCTACCACCTTTATACCTGTTTTATGCAAATAATTAATGATTTTGATTTTGATTTTGAGACTTGGTTGTATGGTGTCTCTTTTTGAATTATTTTGTGGATTGCTGTAATCAAGATATCGGCCGCTTCAAAGAACCGATGAGATTTGCTCAGGTTAATATTTAAGAATACCGGGAGATGATCAGTAACATGACTCTATCACGATGCCACCATCGTGATAGAGTCCACGGGGTCCACACCCCGTCGCTTAGTTCAAGAAAACATGATCGAGGCACTTATTCATTTGGGTAGCGAAAACGAGCTGGGAGTAATCTGGTATTAATCTCGTAATGCGTATTGTAGTATTCGTATTCGGTATTATTGTGGCTTTTCTTATTAAACGGTCAGGGAGCACAATTATATGACATTCTAATTTTAGTTGATCTAAGAAAGCCACAAAGTTGTCAAAGTTTTTACTTATACTGCGAATATTTAGATGCAATATTGAGATATGTCTCTGTAAGCTTTCTGCAATTTTTGAACACTCACTTGCCGCCACCTTATATGATTTCGATACTTGAAAAGCAAATTTTTTTAAATGATAGGGAATTATTAAAAAATATATATGGTAAAACATAATGCGATAATTGTTTTCGAGTGTTGCGCCTAGAATATCGTCACGGCTCTCTCGATTTTTCCGGATGTAGTAAAGTATGGAGTATACGAGTATATGTAGAATGTAAGTGTTTAATTTGTTAAGCATAATTTGAGTGTATATTAATAATGTGAAAATTACATATTTTAAATGAATGTATAAGGAATGATAGTTATTTGACGTATATGTAATTTACCGCATAGTTAGAAGAATAACAACTTTTAAGAATACCTATTCTTATAATAAAACAAAGGAATGTTAATTTATCATGTACAATAAAAATTAATAGTTGGTTCAAAAAGCACAATATCAAACATAGTCATTGTAGATCTTTTAGCTCCTCAAAACATCGATCAGATTTTTCATAAATCTGATTATCACCCTCAGTTTGCCGCAAAAATACCTTATTTTTTGAACACCACCAATATTTGTACTTGTTCTGGGTTGCAAATTCTCGAGCCAGGTGTAATATTTTTTTTACTGATGAAGATATTTGTTCGCTCATACAAATGGGACGATTTTCGCAGTGAAGACCTAGTTGAGAAGAATTTAGATTTGGTTGTTTCTCTCGATTCTTATCAAAGGATCTAACTACTGCGATATATTTGTTTTTTAGTGGAATCGAGGAAAACTCAGCAATAATAAGCCTCTTTGCAATCGCTTTTCCTGGAAGTCTGTATATATCTCTGATTTCTGTCAGCTTTATATCACTCTGTACAAAAAAACCAATTTGCCACACGATTACCGCTAGTTCTTCAGTTATTTTATTTGGTTTAACAAGCACATGTCGAACCTCAATAGCGAGATCTAAATTCCACGTCATTTTTACGTGCGTACGTTTTTGATGTATCTGACGGGACCGAACACGGAACTGGTGGACACTCCACAGGTGACATGCTCGGCTACAGGTGACATTCACCATTAACCCTAGTTCTCAGCGTTCTGCCCGTGACGTAAGTGCGGAGAAATCTGTTATGTGGCCCCACGACCCCAGACTCTTTCATGGCTTGAAGCAGCTGGTGGTGCTCAAGAGTGTCAAAAGCTTTTTTGAAATCCACGTAGACCACCACCAATTGCTTCCGCTGGTCTAAGCACTATTTAATATCGTCACAAAACTGTGCCAGAGCCGTGGCTCTTTGAAACCTATGTACCTAAGTACTTTAATATAATATTGTCTAAACTATTTTTCTTCTTACCCACCCATGAGTTAATTATGCCCCAGATTTACTTGTATTCTTGTTACAGCTTTTTATTTCTTCCTGACGGTATTTAGTTTCTTTTTTTTATTTATTCATTTATTAGACTTAAAATTAAATTAAAATAAAATAAAATTTCTTAAAAATATACTAAAAATTATATCAAAATAAACTTAAATTCTAAATATAACATACCATAAAATGACATACATAATATTTATTTTATTCTTTATGCACAAGTTGGACATTGGCGGACTTAATGCCATAGGCATTTTCTCCCAGTCTACCATAGGGTGGTGCTGAAATGTGTGGCTAGGTGCACTAGACCTTAATAGGAGAAGTAAAAGGAAATGATTGATAAGTTAGGTAGAAGTAATGCGATAAATATACATACATTCATACGTACCAAATACATACACATACACAAATACTTATATAGCAATATACATACATAAGCCTAAAATCAATAATATATAAAATTTCAAGGTTGTGAGGAATCTGCTAGCGTGTCCAGGATGCGAGCTCTAGCTTTCATCTTGAATGAGAGGCGGCTGGGTGCTATCCTGACTTACCAAATACCAAAACCTATTTATTAAATACAGGACTCACAAAAAGTCAACAGAAAAATCATTGTGACGTGATATTCATATACATTTATTTGTTCTATTTCTCTATTTATTATATTGAATTTTTAAATTCATTTCATTTGGCTTTAATTTCCATTTTTGAAAAAGTTTATCCCTAGGAAAAATTCATGTTTTTAATTATTTCTTGTTTCTTGTTGAGTACGGTTATTTGCACTTACGCATTATCATAAGCATTATTTAAAATATTAGGTGGTAATTTCTAAGAAAGTACTTATTTGATTACGTTTAAGATATAAAACACTGCTTTTGTTCTTTCAAACGCAGTGTTTTATATATATTTTAAACGTATGGAGTTGCATATAACTTCGACGGATTATTATGGAATGCAATGTTTTGGATGAAAATTCTAGTAAAAGTTTAAGATGGAGCTCCTCGTGATGCTCCTTCATGATTTAAAATTTATCAACAAATACACGCTTAGAATAAGTGCACTAAGAATTTCTCTTTTGTTTTCTAGGTTTTTTAATATTATATATATCTATATAGCTTTAGAATATAGTAAAACCCCTAGTCAAGTCAACAATACTGCTAACTGCAAAAGTTTTAGTTAAAAACTAAAACTTTTGCAGTTGTCAAAATGAACATATGAATAATTACATCAGATAGACCCAGTTTTTTAATGAAACAAATAAAAATTTATTAAAAAACAACATCCACATTAACGAACTGAGAACTACCTTACCTTCTTACCTACCTTTTCCCTCTCAATATATGAATAATAATAATAATAAATCAAAGTCAAGCGAAGGTAGCTTACAATTTAAATGAATTGTTTTACGTTTGTGGCAGTATTATTAGTTTCATAGTCGAGCTATCACAGAAATAATTTTTGTGACTTTTGTTTAAAATATACTGTGCATTTTAAGTTTCACTGAATACTCGCTATTGTATACTGTTATATTGCTAACAGCGATGTCCACCAAAAAAACCTTTATATTGGTACGTTCAGGTATTTTATACCATGAGTCTGAAAAGTTGGACTCTGAAAAAACATGATTAATGTAACTATAAGTGTATGACTCAGAACAACTTAATTGAAGGTTACAAAGTAAAATTGTATGTCGCGTGTTAATGATAATTGCTCTATTTTTATTAATTACACCTACTTCCGTTCTGCAGTCGTAAGAATTGCATATTATCTACCTACTTTACCTTCTTTTTTAAAACTAAAATCAGAAAGTTAATAAGAACCTAAAAAAGACATTTACTTTATTTTCATAAGACAACTCCTGCACTAGGAATATATCATGTGTCGCGGGGGACTTTACAAACATACATGAAATGGACACAAAGAACAACCAGACTCAGAACAACAATTTGTGGATCACACAAAGTATCGTCTCCTGTGGGGATTGGACCCACAACGCTCAACGTGGTAGTAAGCGGCGTGGCAACCGCTTAAACCACTACGTCATCCGTGCAGTCGATTGATCGATTATTGCTAGGTATTTTTGTGTGAAATAGATTATTGCAAGTTGTATTACGGTTATTGTTTATCTTGTACTTACAGTCCACTAGCTTTTGCCCGTGGCTCCGCCCGCGTGTATGTCCTCCCTCACAACTCAAACTATCTCCATAGCAAATTTCATGGCAATCGGTTCAACGGGTATTGATTTCCCTTACAAACTTCTACCGCCGTCTTAACCCCCTGAAAAGATGATTTCTAGGTAATTTAGGCCAGCGATTTAAGCGTTAAGAGGTAACAGAGAGGCAGACAGACACACTTTCGCATTTATAATATTGGTATAGATTTGCGTTAAGAAAATAGTGACGCATCGATCAAGCGCCGCACATAAATTCAATACATCATATTTAATAAACTTGCATCCTTAATGAAAAAGTAGTTATTAAGGTTTTCCCCCTAGGGCTATCCAGTTTGGGCAGCTACCTTCATAAACTACTATATCTGCAATACACCGATAAGGATAGGATACATAAAGGTATAAAACATTCAAATAAAGTTTGAGATTTGACTTTTCATTAGTAGCATTGATAAACGTTATTTTAAATGTATATACGAGTATAAGCATGCATTTGTAAATTGCGTGTTTTATATCATCAGATTCATTTTTAATGTGTAAAATTGTTGCAATTATTAGACCTCAGTTAACTGCCTGTATTTTATATAAATACCTATTGTGAAGAATAACGAACTCATATAAATCTAAAACAGTGAAGATCTAACGCTGAACTGTTAATCGTCATTACTTCAAAATGTGTGGTGTAAATTTTTGGACTTTCGCAGTTTTAATGGTTTGTTTAGCAAGATCAAGTGTACACGCGGTGAGCATACTGCATTTGCGTATATTTAAATAAAATGATTTCATCAACAACTTTTACTAGTCCACTGATGTACATAGCCTCTCCTCAGATCTGAGGTTTTGGCCTACTATCATTATTTAATACGTTAAGTATAGACAAGACGGGCTGTTGGTCTAGTGGTTAGGGACCCTGACTGCTAGGCCGGAGGTCGTGGGTTCGATTCCCACCAGGAAAAACATTTGTGTGAGGAGCACGATTGTTTGTTCTGTGTCTGGGTGTAATTTATCTCTAACATGTAGGTATTTAGAAATATATAACTATGTTCATCAGCAGTCTGGTTATCATAGTACAGGCTCTGCCTAGTTTGGGATTAGACTGCCGTGTGTGAGATAGGTAAGGTTTATTATAATTGTTATATAAAACTTGTATAATTTTACTTTCTTTAGGGTCTTACTAAGGAGGAAATAGCCACAGTGTTGGATATTACTAAGCCACATTTAGAAGAATGCTCTAAAGAGCACGGTGTATCCTTAGATAATTTGAAAGAAATTGAAGATGAAACTAATGAAAATTTTAGTTGTTTTATGTCTTGCTTCTTAAAGAAAATTGAAGTCGTAAGTATGTCTTTTCTGTAGCTAAGTTATCACACACTACAAATAATAGGAACAGTTGTTTTCTCCATCTAAATTTGTAATCAGTACAGCAGAAGGAATTTTATGATTTTTCTCGAAGGTCCTAATTAGGACCCTCGCGTTGTGCGTTGGTGGCGCATCTACCTCTTTTTTGTATATAATATATTTGGCTATACCATTAAAACTCTTCTACAATAATATATTATTTAACGTAAATCTGTTCTCAGTTTAGAAGTCATACGTTATATTAATATTATAAAATGGGGCACTTTAGGGTATAAGAGAACAGGCAGACCGAAGAAGAGGTGGATGGACTGCGTCAGGGAGGATATGGCCACGAAGGGAGTAAACAGTGAGATGACGCATGACAGAGTAGAATGGAAAAATCATACATACTGCGCCGACACCAAATAAAATTGGGAAAAGGGTAGGGAGATGATGATGATGATGAAAATGGGGCACTTTATTATATTTAAAATTAATAGTTGAACAGTCGTTTGTAAAAAAAACTTTGAACTCATCACACCAAAGACGATAGAAATAGCCTTTAGTCACAGTCTATTGCTACATTCGAAATTCGAAAAGCTAAATAAAAAAAAACATCGTTCTAAAAATATAGGAGAAAAAAGTTCTTTGATTTTCTGGCTTCGCGTATTATGATATAGACCATCGAGTATTTGAGTTATATCAGCGTCCTACATTTCTTGAACAGTCATGATATACTCGTAGCTTTTCGTGCCAAGATAAGTAACATATACATATTTGACGCGTATAACTTAATGTTACTGTAGCAGTTTTACCACTTAGATCGATTTTGGGATTCTCGCATCCAGCTCCTGCCAGCCATCTTGCAAATCACTCCACCTGGCCTGTGGGCGTCCTACACTACTTTTGCCTTTCACCAATTCATTTGTATCTCTAAACGGATTTGGTCAAATAATGTAGATTGAAATAGATAAAAATATTGGTTACTTATTGTTATAACATGTACATTTCACATCACATCACATCAACAGCCTTTATCAGTCCACTGCTGGACATAGGCCTCTACTTAGAAAGGAGGTTTTGGCCTACTATGGCATTTATGGTACATTTAATACGGTTTTAATTTCAGTTTGATGAGAAAGGCATCTTTGACCCTAAAAAATCAAAAGAAAATGCAAGGTCATTCATAAAAAACGAAGAAACACTAACTTTATTCGACAAAGTCGCAGATGAATGCTCCAAAGGTACGTACAGCTTAACCCTTTTTCTTTTGTTGACGTAGTGGAAAAGTCCTTTGGATCTCCGGGTCCTTGGGTACACAGGAGCCAGGAGTATGTAGGGTTTTCACTAAAAAATAGCCCGAGCACCGACAGCGCATTGGCACATATTTCACAGCTGTCCCTACATTGACAGTTTAACCCAAAACATTAATCATCAAGTAAATTCTTTTCATATATGCCCGCACCCTCACATATCAAAACGTTACTGAAAAATAACACGATATTATTAGTTTCTAAATCTAGGAATCTAGAACTATAGATAATGCAATTACCCATTAATATTTATTTTTTTGTTCTGGGGCATCTATAGGCTCACAACATGTATTGGCCAGCGTGGTACAGTAGGCCAAAACCTCCTTTCTAAGGAGAGGCCTATGTCCAGCACTGGACCGTTAAAGGCTGTTGATGATGTATTACTTTCTTTCTTTTAAATAATAATAATAATATTCTACCACATACACACAACGCCATCCAGTCCCAAACCAAGCAGAGCTTGTACTATGGGTACTAGACAACTGATATAAATACATATATACTTTTTTTTTTGTAAATACATACATATTATTTCATGCACACAAATGTTTGACTTGAGCGGGAATCGAACCCGCGAACTTTGGAATAGCAGTCCGTTACACAAACCACTACCCCATCCGGTCGTCAATACAGATTAGACTAATTTCGTAACTACGTCCTATACTAAATCTTGTAATTTATTTATTTATTTATTTATACTTCCTGCAAATACATTGCATAAGGCGGACTTAATGCCATAGGCATTTTCTTCCAGTCAACCTTGGGGTGATGCAGAGATTTGTGTATGGCAGGTATATAATGAGTTAAATTGTAGTCGGTTGCAAGATGGATACATATATAAATGCAAATATCATTTATACGTACTATATAATACTATAAATATTAAAAAAAACATAAACATACACACATACATTCATACATACATGCCTGCGTTGATGAACACACAAGGGGTTATTTTGATGACTCCGTCAACAAGTCTCCATAAAGCTTGCGTACTCTGGTCTTAAAGATTGTTCGGTTGGTGGATGTCCTGATCTCTAGGGGAAGGGCGTTCCAAAGATTTACCGCTTGGACAGTGAAGGAAGAATGTATGATACGGGAGCTATGTGAAGGACAAAGAAGGAGGAAATTATCAGCGGAGCGAAGGCTTCTGTCATGGTTGGGGCAGAGATATTGCAGGTGGGATGTTAAGCAAGTAGGTGAGGTAGGTGTGTGGAGAAGGGAGTGCAACATAGTCAGCGCCCGCAAACTGCGGCGCTGTCTTATAGGTAGCCATGACAATTGCCTGCGATAAGCGGATACATGATCGTACTTTCGCAGGTTGAATATGAACCGAATGCAGTTGTTGAGAAGTCGGTCTAATTTATTGAGCAGATCTGCATTCAGGTCGAGGTAACACACATCACCATAGTCGAATTGAACTTATATAGACTCAATCACGACTTAAAATATTTTGTCAATGACCAGTAGTTAATTAGTACACGTTTGATTCTTCCAGTAAATGACGCAGAAGTAAGTGATGGCATCGAAGGCTGCGAAAGAGCCAAGCTGTTGTCTGATTGTTGGAAGGAACACTTAGGAAAAGTATATTAATTTGCTTATATTTTGTACATTTGCCCTTAAGTTAAATTACGAATTCAAAAAAAAAAAAAGGTTTTGTTTACCATAGACACTTTAGGAAAGTAAATCGCTTTTTTTCTTAATGTCTTAATTCACTTAGTAAGATATGCCTGTACATACTTTGGTCAAGATGTTCAATCTTAATCAGTTTAGTCATTTTGTAGAATTTTACAGAGTAAAGTTTCTCTAGACTTTGGGTCACTTCGAATTTTGCTTTGGAAGATATTATATGCACAGTATATTATTATATTTATATATTACTTAACATGTGGTTTAATAAACGTTATTTTGTTTTTACTTTCAGCTGATGTAGATGAAATATTACCAGGAAAAACTATGGACATTAAAATAAGGATTTGAACTACAGTAGTCAGCTACTGCTTACACAATGTTATAATAGTTCTTTAATATAATTTACTAGCAATTCAATGATCTAGGTTTCATTTACACTAATTTTATTTACATAGATAGAAAACTTTCTATATATACTTATATATACCTATTGTAATGTACAAAGGGAGGTCTTCATAGCGGCGGCGCCCGTCGAAATCTATCTAGCAACGCAAATCTAGATTTAGATTTGATTATAATCTTATTAGGTTAAAAAACTAACAAAAGAAGTGTTATTTTTAATCACTGATATTACATAAATTCATCCAAAATATGTAATGTGAGGAGTTAGTCCATAAAGGGGATTTTTTCTGTTTCTCTTTTGTTGAAAGTAAAGGAGGTATGGTATACAGAATTCCTATCGCAGCAGCGCAATATAAATGCGCGATCAAGCTTACTTTCTAGCACTAAAAGCTGAGTCCAGTCATATAATTATTCGATCTCCTTAACGAGGCGTAATTTAGTGATTAGTATTGATTACTGATAAGAACATCTTGGAGCTGAGCCGTTACAATAAACGAACAACGGCATATAAGTAAGTTGTTGGAAATCGTAATATGAAAATGAGCAAGACCAATAGACTTAAGTACAAAAGAATTAAGAATGAAATAGGTTAAAAAAAGTTTTAAGTTAAACGGTTTTATTGAAAAGAAAAATAATGATGATGTAGATAATTAACTAAAAGCTGAAAAATATCTAGGTAGATCCTAGACACCAGTCATTACACCACTCTCCTTATCGATCCGCCAAAGCCGGTGCTTTGATTAGATGTAAAAGTAAAAGATTTTACTTTAGTATTACGCTATTTACACTCGTAAATAGCATTTACATGATATGAGTGGTAGACTGTTGATGGAGATTTCACGCAAAACCTCTTGAATCCTGCGTTGTACTTTGCTGAGAACTGTATAGCTTTCAGGTGAATAAAATGTGTGCCGTCTTTTCAGAGATGACGACTGTTATTTACACCTGTACTTTTATGGTTTTCCAAAGAATTCCAGTAATGTGCTGATAGTGCCATTTACAAATCCCTTCAAAACGTTAATATTGGACCGTTATAGTAGGAGAGCTACTGAACCATTCGACCAATCCGTTTTCCACAAAGTAGATTTTTTAAATGACGTTTTATTTTCTCTCAATGACGAAAGTACCGTTCTGACAGCAATCTTGCGGTTGCGTCATCACAACTAAAATTTCTTTAAATGTAAAAAAAATAACCTATTCCCACATGGCTGAAATTTTAATATGTTGTTATTTACATCTATTCAAGTATAAAATATACAACCCATTTTGAAGTTTGTAAAGGTGTGCCAGATGATAGCAAAGTTGTTAAAGAGATGATGATTATTTTCTAAAATCCACCCGTTATCCTCTGGTGTTAGTGTTGTAAGTTCTTTATGATTGGCATTACTCCATATACGCGCTAAATATTATGCGCGTATAAAATGCTCATAGAACTCGGACCTACATGGTGGTAAATTTAATGAATCGTAATTTAAATAATTTTTATTAAGTGGTTCATTCAATTTTATAAATAAACAACATATCTAACATATTTAATTGAATAAGGAATAATACTGTATTGTTCAAAATAGCCTCGTAAATAATCTATTATTTTTTTGTAATATTTGAAATATAAAAATGGTTACTGTAGGTACCTTAGAAGATTACCAGCGCCTCATGCCGCCCTGAGTGTGGCTACGTGTGGACGGGACGGGTTTTCCCCTCCACCCGCTATAATGGCCAGCCGCGAGGAGGTGACGTCCGCGTGTGCCGGACGTCACCTAAATAGAGAATGTACCTGAAGGTGGTGCCCGCACAATTGCGGGCAGGCGCTAGGAGGGGTCCGGATGTCTTAATAACAGCAGTTTCCGGATCCCTACTATTACAGGCGCAGAGTGGCACACCGTGTGATTTTAGTAGGTTCGGTTCCGACACACCACCCCAGTGTTGTTTAGCCAGTGTTTGCAATTTAAGCGCACAAAAATATACGACAAATCTTTGAAATTCTCGTATTTTCTATCCAATAATATGCATGTATTATATATAAACCTTCCTCTTGAATCACTCTCTATTGTTGAAAATCGCATTAAAATCCGTTGATCCGTTGAAAAGATCTAAGATCTAAAAGATCTAAAAAAATTGACTACATTTTATACTATGTAAAGATAAAGATGAGTATTACTCATCTGGCAGGCAGTTGTAACCGCCATACGAGCACTTTGCTCGTAGCAACGTGACGTATAATTTTTAAATTATTGAAATAATATTCCATTCGATCAAGTTATGAATTATCATCTCTTTGACAACTTTGCTATCATCTGAAATACCCTTACAGCCTTCAAAATGGGTTGTAATTTTTTTAAATAATTGAATATATTTAAATAACAACATATTGAAATGTAAGCCTCGTGGGAGTAGGTTAAAAACAGTTGTTAGAAGTGAAAATTTTTAACGGTCTAGTAATAAGAAACAAATTGAAAACAAAGTTTACTGTATATTTCAAGTTTTATTTAGTATTAATTATTAAATTCTCATGTACCGCAAAAAAGCGATCTCTGCCATATAACATTTATTTTAATACTAAGTATAACGAGTGGTTCAGTCTTTTTATATAATAATTCTGCAAAAAAAACACTGAAAAAACGTATCAATAAAACTAGTGTATGACACAGAACAATTTGATTGAAGGAAGTAATTTTTTATTTCATGTTTGCCATTAAGTTTGTCGCTACACATGTTATAATAGATAATTGCCGTGTTTTTATTAATCATACCTACTTCCGTTCTTTCATCTCGTGACTACGGTCGTAGGAATGTAATATACAGCACACACACACATACACACACCACACACACAAACACACACACAACAGTGCAAGTCACACTTGTAGAGAAGAAAAACTTGAAACAAACCCTATACCAGCCCGTCTGGCCAGCGTGGTATAGTAGGCCAAAACCTCCTTTCTAAGGAGAGGCCTATGTCCAGCAGTGGACTGGTGAAGGCTGTTGATATGATGTGACTAAGTTAGCTTACCCTGTTTTGTAATTAAACCATTTTCTTTTCTGTTTTCTTTTAACATAACTACATAAACATCTAACAAGGTGCAAGTAATTTTTCTTTGTGTTTTTGAAGTTAGTCAATAATACATAATTTGCCACGATCTTGATCTTTATATCTGATGTTTATTTTATGATAGACAATACACAGACTTGAAACAGTTTGTCAAGTTTACATAAAAAATGCACTCCGCAACATTCTATACAGAAGAAGACTTTTCCTTAGCTGGCTTTCTCTATAAGAAGTCGACAATCTATCCTCAGTAGGTATTTCCTGAACGCAAAGAAAGTTATTTATTTACTATCGTATGTTCTCAGCTATGCTATTAAACTGTCATTTTTTTATTTCTAGATGAGAGTGTTGCACACTCATAAATACCTTGGTTGGTTGTATAAATCTGGAATAAATCTGTATGATTTATTCCAGATTTATACAACCAACTTCAGAATCCAAACTGTCTATAAACACACAACGAATATTGGGCGAAGAAAGAATACTGGGAAAATATATTATACGTAATAATAGTAATAATATTTTAAAAGAACAATAAAAGTAAGTAGTATAAGTAATATAAATAAAAGTAGTAGTAAGTAAGAAGAGAAGAAGTCAGATAGATTATAGACTAACTAATAGAAAAGAAAACATCTCAAACTTAGAAATTATATCTTATCTAACATTCCCCAGCTACCACCGACTCTTGAGAAGCACACTACAGATTCCACCGATAAAGAAAAGTAGATAAAATTTTAAAAGTTATAAAACTAAGCTCAGTACTCCAGAAAAAAAGAACAATTCTTACAAATCTTAAGTATACATGTAAATGAAATAGTATTAGGAGAGAATAAAAATTTAGAATCATTATACAACAAAATTAAAGAAAACTATAACCACCAGTTTAAATTCTATTCTACAGAAATTAACAACAAAGGCAGAGACTATCCCTGTTCACATAAAATGTCTTATTGCAAGAAGAAATGAACTGATTCAAAAGAAATCCCTAACTAAGGAAGAAAAAGACAAACGTACCTACCTCTACAAAAACATTTACAAATTCAATTTAAGAAATTAAATTACATCTCGAATCAACAGCTGGCTTAAAAAAAAGGTCTTAAAACCTTAACACCACCAAACGATGGAAACCCAATATAAAAGATGACACTACTAACAACAAAAAAATATCAAGATCTGAAATAATAGAAAAGGCAACAAAATTTTATTACAAATTATACTCAGCAAAAGATACTACACCAGAAATCGAAACGACCAACTAAAACTCTGTTAATCTAAGTAGATTCTCTACACAGAAAATAATAATAAAGAAAATGTAATTTCTAAAATTCAGCAAAAGCAGCGGACCCAGTGGAATCCTAAATGAAGCACTAAAACTGTGGAAAATGTTAGTATCACCATAAATAACAACTCAATTTAACTATTATATAAAATTAGAGTAACCGACTTTATTTCAAGTCGACGATGTAATCTGGGTAGATCAAGTTTTATCATCATCATTAACAGCCTTTAATAGTCCACTGCTGGACATAGGCCTCTCCTTACAAAGTAGTTTTTGGCCTACTATACCACGCTAGTCAGACAGGTTGTTGCTGGTTGTTTAGATAGTTTATTTATAAGAAACAAGTCGTAGTACTGTACTGTACTCAACTGAACGTAGTACTGGTCTAATAGCTGTCTCCAAGGATATTAAGTTATAAGGTATATAGTTTTTGCTGCTCCCAGAATTATGGGGAACGGGTTGGGGAGGTGGACCTTTGGTAATGTCATTCACTTACACATGATTTAAATCTCACTATTCATTATGCAACTTCCACCAAAGACTACAATCAGTCCCAACATTAACTCTGGCTGGTCATGAATAGCAACGATTTCTCTCTAATGCTAGGGGAAAGATAGACTCGGTAAATATCCTAGTAAGCTGTGCCTTCATGGCTCTCATTTTTTGAAGTGGATGGCTCTCATTTCTTGAATTTACAATTGGAGGATCCAAATTCTATCAAACTCAAACATAAAAAAAAATGTGTGAAATCGTCTTTTATATAGACTCTAAAGTCATAGGTCAACACACACAAAAGCAACAATCTCTGTTTTGTCAAATAGTAAGCAAATAAATTTAATAAAAATTAAACTTATACAAAATCTGTGATATCCCTGTGCCGATCTACAACCCGCCGTTTCCAAGGCGTTGAGCCTAATGAGAAGAAAGGGCAAACAAACTTATGGCCACTCTTTTGCAGTTCACAGATAAATACAATGGCATTATTAAATATACCACAACATTGTTTTCATGTGTGCCAGTATGTCCTTTATTAAGGACTAAAAGGTAAAAAGACAATAAAGAGAAAACAAGATTCTTAATCTTGTTTTAAAATTAAAAAATCAAATAAAAGAGAAAATGAAGTGGAACATAAAAAATGGAAATAATAATAAAAAAACACACTAGCCCACACCACATTTTTACTTAATAAATAGCCTGCGCTAATTAATCCCAAGCATTTTTGTCTTCTATGTTATCCACAATTGAGTAGTAGGGCCCTACTGGCCCTCGGGCACAAGCCACGTTTTATTGCGGATTTAAATTTGTTAATACTTAAGTCTTGAATATTATTTGGGATTTTATTAAGTCGAACACATGGACCTCAGTAGGACTTGTTTGTCTTTTGGAGCCTAGAGGCGGGTCCTATTTCTGGTATTTATAGAATGTACATCACTTCTTTTCAAAAAGCTATCTTTGTTTTTATGAACATATGTATATTACGTTTTCATAAATATATTGACTTGAAACTGTCATTATGTTTATTTCTTTAAATTTCTGCCTCAATGAACAACGATTGCCTAAATTATAAAGTGCTCAAATCGCTCTCTTTGTCAGTACAAAAATAGTTTGAATAACGGCAGCTTTCCCCCACAGTAGAATACCGTACGACATTATGCTTTGAAAATAACTAAAGTAAACAAGTCGTGCTGTATCAACATCAGTCAACTCTCAAATTATCCCACGTAAAAACAATGGATACGGTTTGTATAAAGTTGGATATTTAGTGGTTCTCAACAATAAACTAGCATATCATTTTACGTAATATTCGATATAGAAAACATAAATAAATTCAGCTCTCTAAATTTTTTTTTATGCGTATATTATACATACTCGTACAATAAACGTTTCAAATTGCCACCTTAAATTACCCTTATTATTCTTAATACTTGCTTTAGTCCGTGTTAGGTTCTAATGTGTATCAATTTGTGATATTGAAAATTATTGTGGGTATATAAATGTGCCACGAATGTTTATTTTGAATTCATAACGAAGTCATTTCAGTTACCTGAAAACCGAAAAACAAATAATAACTAAAACATCAGAAGTGTTCGTACAGTCTTGGAAATGTTTTGGTTACTTACGACTTTCATGTTTTTTTCGGGTACCTCTTATGTGTGTTCGGTAAGTAAATAGGTTATTATTAAACTTCGGTATAACCTAAAAAAATACTTAAAGTAAATACTTTCTCTAAATGAAAACATTTGGTTTCATTCTTCAAACTATACCTATAAGGGTTTATTTATTGTACATACTCATGAAATCGTGAAATGCAGCCTGAATATCGGTGCTGCGACCATTGTATATATTTATTAGTTCAATAAATAGGTATTACATTAATATGATACATGTATTAACACATAGGACAGGCGTGTGTTCTACACTCATCGTTCAAAGTAAAATTATTTTCAAATTAGAGATTTATTAATATACCTACAATTATTACTTTGACTGTATGACTAAAAAATCATTTCGATAGACGGCCATAACTCCAGAGGTAGTGCAAGCAATGAAAACAATAATAGATCCTGTTATGAAGGAGTGCCAACAAGAGCTTGGCCTGACCGAGGAAAAACTTCAAGATCTAAAGGATAAAGGTGAAGTTGAAGATAAAGTTTTCTGTCTGTCTGGTTGTGTGTTCAAAAAACTTGGAATCGTAAGTATCTTCAATTCTTATACATTTTTTTTATTACTTATCGCAAGAGTTGCAAGTGCATTGTCACCCTTTGAGTTTTTTTGAGAAATAGAGTGAGGGGAGCTCCAGTAACCCCTTTCACTCAGTAAATGCAACGAACGAATGGTTTAGCACCGGTTTTCTGTGTATGGTATCACTCAGATCGAGCCTGGCTATCTAAAGAATATGTATTTATAGGTATATTTATTTATATATATGTGTAATTGTATAATATATGTAAATTTAGTTTAGTTTTATATGTTTACTGATAAAAAATATGTATATTTTTTATGATGTAATTACAAATGTATAGTTTTCCGATTTTACCTTGTACTTGTAGTATAAAGACGATGTTACTTGCCAAATTTATACCGGTCGAGTTGTTTATAGGTCGCCGGAGGTCGCAGAACGACCTCCGTCCTCCATAAGCGCAGGCCTGGGGGTGACAGGTGAGGCCATCTGTCACCCTAGCAGAAGCAGGCCGGGGTGGCGGCGAGCGCGTTGCGAAGTGCGCTCGCTTCCAGGGAGCACAGGGAATATGGGGTTCCCACACGGGGGGGGGGTCGTCTACTCGTCTGTAGATGACCCGAGGTATGTCGGGGCACCAGGGACTTCCTTTCTAGGGTATACCTGGTTCCCCGGCTATTAGTACCCGGCGACGGCGTGCGGTTTTAGTCGGTTCGAGTCCGACATGCCACCGACAGGTGGTATCCGAGGGGATTTCCGCAAGGGAAAAAAAAAAAAAAAAAAAAAAAAAAAAAAAAAAAAAGGTCAACCTGATAGTTGCCGTTGTACCTATGAACAACTCGACCGGTATAAATTAAACTGTCTATTAAAAGGACAGGACTCTCCGTCCACGACAGGTCAATGGCAACTACGAGTAGTAGGAATATAGAATAGAATAGAAGTACTAGATATGTATATTGCTTTACTTCAATAGCTACTAAACATAAAGACTCTATTTAAAAAAGAACAAAACATACCCCGACTGAATAAAAATTATATTCTCAAACTTAATTGTATTTTGTTTCTTTAATGGCATTTCTCATCAACATTCCGTCTAGACAAAATACCCATATATATATATAATTATTATTTGTGATATCTACTAAAACATACATAGTTTAAGTTCTCTAAATTCAGTTTTTCCACATTACATTTACACTTAAAAATCAGTGGTTTAATACATTTTACATTTTTTTTTATTTTACAGTTCGATAAGAATGTAATGGTTGATGTTGAAAAGGCGTCAGAATTCCATAAAGCTTATATCAAAGATGAAGCCGCTCTTGCAGAAATGGAAAAAGTTACAAAAGAGTGCTCTAAAGGTTTGTGCATTTAATGTGATTTAAAATTATGCTAATAAGTTTTGTTTACAGAGTTGAATTAATGATACTTGTTATTTTTTTTAATAGAAAACATTTCATGTAATTTATTGCACATTGGATACATTATTTACATTTACCTCTCGCAGAAAATTGGCTTATGATTATAACATAACGTATATTATATAGCATACTAGCGATCCACCCTGGCTTCAAGCCAAGAGTTAATATTAATTACTAACGTGGTGTCAGTGTAAAATAGAAAAGGATAGGATCTCTATATATGTTATATGGTACCTTCGTAAATTTCCCAGTATTATTTGTAATATCTAAAGGATAAAAATGGTTACTGTAGGCTATCCTTAGGAGATAGACATATACCCTCGCGGATTTTTTGTAGATCTGTTTGATATATACAATTCCGTAGTACATTATTTTGATATATCTCGTAAGGTTTAGCCAGCGTCTGCAATGTAAGGGCACAAAAACCTGTTTTTTACAATTTCACATTACCAATCTTTTAAATTCTCTTATTTCCTCTACTATAATATGAATGTATAATACATATAAACCCGCCACTTGAATTAATCTCTCTATTGGTGAAAACCGCATTAAAATCCGTTGCTTAGTTGAAAGTTCTAAGCATACAAGAAAGAAAGCGACTTTATTTTATACTATGGAAAGATATATAACATATATAATATTAGATCCTTATATATGAAATTAGCGTTTTGTTGTACTGACCACTTTGATCTGAAATATCTCCTCTTTGGTTAAGAATTCAAATTTATAAATTCATTTAGCTGGTACATTTGAGTTTTGAAAACAGTCATTCATTTGTTTTTTCCTCATTATATTTTTCTTTGGCGTCGCTTATTACCGCACAATGGAAAACATGAAATTTCAGTATATTTACGAGTACGAGTTCTACCGTGGCACCAGTGCTGCAGAAACAGCTCGAAGGATTAATGATGTGTACGGCGCTGGTGTCGCAAAAGAAAGCACGGTACGTTTTTGGTTTCAACGTTTTCGTTCTGGAACTGTCGACCTTCAGAACCAACCCCGTGGACGGCCGGAGATTAAAGTGGAAAATGAAGACTTAAAGGCTTTTGTGAAAGCGGATCCATCACAAAGCACTTCAGAGATAGCTGCTGGCTTCTTGGTAAGTGATAAAACTGTATTAATCCACTTGAAGCAAATCGAGAAAGTAAAAAAAAACTTGAACGATGGGTACCTCATGAATTGAGTGAATCGAACTTGCTAACACGCTGCGCTACTGTGTTACTTTGCTCAACCGACACAATAATTAAGAGATTTTAAATCGAATCATTACTTGTGATGAAAAGTAGATACTCTACGATAATCGAAAGTGCTCGTCGTAATGGCTGAACCCTGGAGACCCACCCAAATAATACCCTAAACGGAAATTGACTCAAAAAAAGTTACTTGTGAGTGTTTGGTGGACTAGCGCCGGTGTCGTTCACTACAGCTTTCTAAAATCTGGCGAAACGATTACGGCAGATATCTATTGTCAGCAACTGCAAACCATAAAGGAAGAACTAGCTGCTAAACAACCGAGATTAGTCAATCTCTAGGTCACTGCTGCTTCACGACAACGCAAGACCACACACTGCACAACAAACAACCACTAAGTTAGATGTGCTACAGTTGGAATGTCTGCTACATCTACCGTACTCCCCGGACCTTGCTCCAACAGATTACCATTTTTCTAGAATTTGGACAACTTCTTACAAGGAAAAAAATTCAACTCCGGTGCTTCAGCCTAAAACGCCTTCAAAGAGTTTATTGATTCTCGCCCCATCGTTTTTTTAGTAAAGGAATCAATGAACTACCTATGAGATGGCAAAAGTGCATAGATAACAACGGTGCATACTTTGGTTAATTAAATATATTTTACAAAAAAAAGGACTTTATATTCCACCCGTACAAAACGCCAATTTCATATGTAGGGACTTAATATAACATAAAGATTTATTATAACAGGTAATGTCAATGTAACAGGTAATGTAAGTTGAATAGCAAACCAAACATTGTTTATTGATTTTTATTGTTCCAGTGAGAAGGAAAGTTCTCAGTGGATCTAAAACTTTAAAAGAGTATCTATCAAATCTAATGTCATTACATATTGAGATATTACATGTGTCATTAGATTTTTCACGGGTCTGGCCAGTGGACCGTTTGAATAAAAAATCTCAGTAGCAGAAATAAAATCGTTATTAGATCAATCGTGGATATAGCCAATTGATCTCCTGAGATTGGTGAAACAAACATTATCAGTACATCCACATCTTGAAATCAGGATTCAATGAGAAAAAAGTTGTTATTATATCCATTATGGATCTGGCCAATGGATCTTCTGAGACAACCTTTTACGTTGATCAGATTTGTTTTGAGAGTTAAATGCAGACAATCATACCACACACACTAACACACATACATACACGTATACAAACAGGCACACACATGTTGTTTGCTTTTAGTTAATTTTTTTATATTTATCGTTGACTGGTGATCTGGAATAATCTCTCATAAAGAAAAATGCCCGATTTGTATTTTATAAGTTGTACCTACCTTTGTGATGAGAAAAATAAATACAATATTTATTTATTATTTATTAATATTTTTTCACAAATAAAATAAATTGAATCTTTCAGTAAATGAGGAAAGTGTTAGCGATGGAGATAAAGGGTGTGACAGAGCCAAGCTGTTTATAAAGTGTGTTAAAGAACACAAACAAACGGTAAGTGTGATAGATTAAAATTATACTAAGTGCTAAGTGCTGACTAAATTTTTAATTTGCTTTTTTTTCTGTTTTTTATATGTATTACTACTGTACCTTTACAAATTTTTACTTCTTAAAAAAGATGGTAAAACAATTTTCAATAATCACACTCGCCGAGTATTGATTATCAACTATATATAGGAATGACGTATTAAAAATGTAAAATGTGATCAGTGGGCCATAATTGCTTAAAATTTTATTTTTCTATCATCCATCATTGAATTATTATATACCATGCGAATATTATCAAGTTAAATAAAGTAAGTGGGCTAACTTTTGTTTTTCATTTTCAGACCGTAGTTTGAGAGAAGATATCTTACTGTTACTACCACCACCACCACTAACTGCAGCTATGAAGGAAAAAGAATGATTTGTTTCTAATATATTTTAGAATTGCAATAAAAGAGTTTGTTGTAATTTGATTGTATTTATTGCCTCAGAATACTATTTTGTATACGAATTCCACCATTGTCATGGTAGCTCGGTAACTTTTATTTATTTATTTGATACTTTATGCACAAAAAAGAAGTGTAACTTAGCACCATAGGCATTTTTTCCAAGCCTACCTTAAACTAAATGACTGACTGAACAGTTAAAATGGATGGCAATTTACCTTGATTGAACTTCTTACGTTTAAATACGAGTACTAAGAAATCGGGTGAGTCCTTGTCGAGACACGTGTAGTCTTAATCAATAGCCGTTAACAGTCCACTGCTGGAAATAGGCCTCTCCTTAGAAAGGAGATTTTGGCCTACTATATCACGCTGGCCAGACGGGTTGGTATAGGGTTTGTTTCAAGTTTTCCTTCTCTTGTGTGTGTCCACATGTAGTATGGGGTTCTGAATTTTATGAGTACCTGTTTTAAATAATTTTAGTAATTTCCATAGATTGTTGACAGAAGGTCACGAGTGACAGAGGAGAATGGAATGTAACAACATTCCATTCTCCTCTGTCACTCGTGAGTTTATTGTTGACTCCCTTTCCTGCCATATCCTCTTTACGCACTCCATCTTTTCTTTGACCTTCTTCTACTCGTATATCCGTGAACTTCCATACATAACACTTTCTTCAGTACATGTTGATTAATTAATTATTTTTGTAAATTATAAAATAAAACTCAAAATGCGATAAAGTTTCCTTTTTTATTTACGAAAAAAACATGATAATATGTGAAAGAGTAGCTTGAGCATTTGCATGAACGAAATAAATATTTCATTGTCTTCAGCAAATTTGTCAGTTTACACACGCACTCGTCTGTTTATACAAATGTTTAGAAAATTCTTTGGTTAAGAAAAGAAAACAAAACGCTTCGGTGACGACGCGACGTTTAGATTGTCATTTAGATTTCTAGATTTCGAGAACTGTTTTGTAATGACGAGTCAAAATTTGTTTTCGTCGCTTTGCAAAACAGTCATTTGCTATTATGAACTCTTAACTTATTTACACTGTTATTTTGCATTATTATGGTCAGATGGTACAATAAAGAATAGATAATATTAATTGACGTAGCTAAATATAAAACCTTTAATGCTTATGTTCAGAAACTTACACTCATATTGTCAAAATTACTTGTACTTGTTAAAGTTACCTCGAGAGAGTCAGTCTTCTGTATCACAATGACTTGGGCAGTTTCAAGGTACTCATTGGCGTGCTCCAGTTAAACATGGCGGCGTTTTGATGAGAACGAGTTTTTTCACCAGAAACGCTTAACTACAATTCCTGGCTCGTAACAATCGAACCGTATTATCTAGCATTGATTAACTATAAACGAACTTTATGTATGGATTATACATGGAACCTGAACATTCGATTTGTAATTGTATGTTCAGCGTTTTTTTTTGTTGACGGGGTAGAAAATCTCTTCGAATCTCCTGCTACTCGGGGGCTCAGGAGCCAGGAGAATGTGGTGATTCCACTAAAAACCACCCCTGCAGCCGGCCTCAGGTGCCCTGCTCGGGGAGGACTCGGACCATGTTATTTCAGGTCCTCCCCGAATTGACACCATGCCTAATCAGGCCCTATCCCAGGGGAAAACACTTCCCCCTCAATCAGGAAATCACCCATCCCCTACCGCATCAATCAATCTGCCACCAGAGGTCAACGCCCGCGGCCCCGTTGACTGGTGGTATTGTCACCGACGTCCCTTACAGTCGGGATCGGCCCTCATCCGATCCCGTTCAGCGGTCTCTCTCTGGAGCATTACAACTTCACAGAACGAGACCACTGCCCCCATCCCTCCTTACTCGCCAGCAAGGCACCAAACCACATTAATGTAGCCATTAGTTAAATACGTCTGATATAATACCACTGCACGGATGGTGTAGTGGTTTAAGTGGTCGCCACGCCGCTTCCTACTACGCTGTGTTGTGATTTCGATCCTCACATGGGAGGACACTTTGTGTAAATCACAAATTGTCACCACACCTAATGTAATGTTTTAAAAATATTAATGGGAAAAAATAACAAACTTGTACAACAAATCGTAATTTATTCAATGACTGCACCAGGAAAATTATCTGTGAATTAGGAAATAACAAATGAGATTGTCGCTATTATTGCATTTACCTGCTCAAACTTAACTGCGAAGACTTTATATAAAGGTTGCAGTCAGATGTCATATACTCATACGAGTAACGAAAATTGTTTAGAACCTATTTGCATTCTTTTTAACTGAAAAATGATTAGTCATAAGTTTCTCTTGTTCGTAACTCTAGCGTTCTGTTTAGAAACATTAAGTGTATATGCGGTGAGTAAGTCTGAGGAGCATTAAGTGTGTCCCCAAGTTGGTTGGGGCAGCGCGTGCGTTGGCGCGGCTGCTGCCCAACATGAAGGGACCCGATGACTCCTGCAGGAGACTCTACTCGGGGGTTGTGCGGTCCATGGCCCTTTACGGGTGCCCAGTATGGGCGGGGGCCCTGAAGGCCAGCAACGTCGCGATACTGCGACGACCGCAGCGAGTGCTGGCCATCAGGATCATAAGGGGGTACCGCACGATCTCCTTTGAGGCAGCGAGTCTCCTGGCCGGAACTCCACCGTGGGACCTGGAGGCGAGAGCCCTTGCAGCTCTGTATCAGTGGCGCAAGGAGGCGCGGGAGTTGGGTCGATGCCCCGAGATTCGAGAAATAGATGACCGGAAATCCCAACTCCGCCAGGTCATCATAAGGCGGTAAGACCCGTTATGGAGGATTGGCTCGAGAGGCGTCACGGGACCCTTTCATACCGATTGACGCAGGTGATCACTGGGAAGGGATGTTTCGGGGATCACCTGTATCTGATCCGCAAGGAGCCAACGCCTGAGTGCCACCACTGCGATGGCCGGACCGTGGACACGGCTCTCCACACGCTGGCAGAGTGCCCGGCTTGGGTTGAGCAGAGGCGAGACCTCGTGGCGACCATCGGAGTGGGAGTTCTCTCGCTCGATAGCCTGATTGCGGCTATCGTGCGGAGCGAGAGTGCGTGGAACTCTGCCGTCTCCTTCTGCGAGCAAGTTATGCTCGCGAAGGAGACGGCGGAGCGGGACCGGGAGAGGTTTAGGACTCTCCCGGCCCGCCAGGCCCGGGAACGGGCCAGGTACCGCAGGCGATTCAGGCGCCGGAGGTCGCAGAACGACCTCCGTCCTCCATAAGCGCAGGCCTGGGGGTGACAGGTGAGGCCATCTGTCACCCTAGCAGAAGCAGGCCGGGGTGGCGGCGAGCACGTTGCGAAGCGCGCTCGCTTAAAGGGAGCACAGGGAACATGGGGTTCCCACACGGGGGGGGGGGGGGTCGTCTACTCGTCTGTAGATGACCCGAGGTATGTCGGGGCACCAGGGACTACCTTTCTAGGGTATACCTGGTTCCCCGGCTATTAGTACCCGGCGACGGCGTGCGGTTTGAGTCGGTTCGAGTCCGACATGCCACCGACAGGTGGTATCCGAGAAGATTTCCGCACGGAAAAAAAAAAAGGAGCATTAAGTGTATATGAGTCTGTAAAAATAACTTACTAATTATCTCCTTCTTTAAGTTATAATACAAAATATAAAGTTCTATAGTATATAATACGGCACATCTTAACTTTTACTAAAGAATAAAATGAAAATAGTATATTCATATTTCATCACATCATTGGCCTATAAACATCTAGATCAGATGATTTTAGCAGCGTCTTGGGTGTTTGGGAACTTTTTTGTGACTGTTTATACCAATACGGGAGCCACAGCAGCGACTACAATGTTGACAAATTAGGGCTTGATTGCTTGAACCCTCGTGCCAGCTTATCCGCAGTAAGCATCCCCAACCAAGCTTTATCATGGGATTTGAGGCCTTCCGAGATGACCCTTCTTCACTTATCACGCTCTTCTACGAGGTTTTCCTAATGAGAAAAGTTAGAATTGACAGAGATCATTTCGCGCTTCACGCTATGCTTAACCCTCAAGTTTGGACTGCCCACAAGTCCCTTGGCGTAACCTGGTTTCCCAAGGAGTGTTTGTCTAGGCAAACAAGAGGACTCCATACGATTCACATGTCCTAGCCAGCGCAATCACTTCTTACTTTCTGTTGAATGCGAATGTTGATCTCTGCATCAAGTGAGAGATTGCTTTACATAGTAAAGCTTGGGTAGACACCCATTTTTGACTGATTATATATAAATAATTTAGTTTTGTATGCTATTGAGTTTTCAAATATTTTTTAAATTTACAATACGTCTGTATTTATATTGCTATATATGTATCTGCTTAAGACGTCTTTGCATGTTGTATGTAAAAGTTAATGAAATGAAAAAAAGTTAATGTTAATGAAATAATTAAAGAAATCGTTTTAGTATTTAATTGTGAACTTCAACAACAAAGCGATCTCCAGTTATTGTTATTGCTCCTTGTAAATTCAGTCTAAATTTTCTAGGATATTGACGCCATGACGGCAGCCATAAACCAAATGTCGCAAGAATGTGGCAAAGAGTTAGGTATCGACCCCGAAAAAGTTAAGGAATTCAAATGGGATGTGGATTATGAGCCTTGCTTCTTAAATTGCTTTTATACAAAATATGGGATGGTAAGTGTTAAATAATTATCCTTGCATTAAAGAAATAATCATTATCTGTATATTGTTATACAATTTTCGCAAGTAGATTTCACCCCGGGGCCCGTCCCTGGGGTAGCTGCTTGCTCTTGTGAGCCTAAATGTCTACCCGTGTGCAATAATTTCCAAAACTAATGTATTTTAATATTTTCTGTGGTTGTTTAACAAGGAGAATATTTTGTTAGAATCATGGACGTAAACAAAAAGTCGGACGGAACTCCTGCTAAGACAAAACTGAGACATCGTAATTTCGGCAGCTCCTTATGTGAATGAATTTGAGGTTGCTAAGTTATATAAATGTCAATAAATAAAAATCCTAACAGTCAATAAATAAAAATATTTTATTTGTTCAAAATTTGACTGTTTAATACTCGTATCCCTAATGCTGAGTATTTTTTTATAATAATGTCTTTTACTATGAGAGGTTCTTGAAATTTCCTCGCATTTCGACATGTGGTCAAATCGAATCGTTAAATATTTTCGTCTATATATTTAATAAGACTTACTTTGTGTTCTATCCCGGCGAAAGTATGTATTCTAGAATTTATGTGAGAATATATTTGTGTTCTTTCATTTTCACCATTACAGTTTTATTTCTAATTATTTGAATCCAATAATTTCTTTATACTCCATTTTCTTTAGAAAATCTAGTCAAAAAAATGTGAAATAAAATACCTAGTAGTAACTATTAAATTACATAACCTTAAGAAATTGATTTTAATAATAAACCAAAAATTCACAATATTTCGTTTAATTTGCATATATACTTGAAAATTGGCAGCACTGGGCTTTTAATGAATTCTTTTGTTCTATCGAATGCAGATTGATTTTAAATTATAAAATCTAGAAATAGGTGATTGAATTGTTCATTTACCTATGAAACGTGATTCCTGGATTATTTTTAATTCGGTCAGTACGGTTTTTACAGTATTTCACCACGCAAAACATGTTGAACATTTATATTTTATCGTCGCGTATTGCTGCCTCGATGTTTGCGCGCGAAATGGCCGACTCATGTGTGTAACTGTGCGTGACGGGCTGTACGTAGGGCGAGCTGACCGACTATGAGTGACACAGTTTTTTGTTAGCGAGACTATGCCCGACGTTTTTTATACGTCCATGGTTAAAATTCGTATAACGTCAAAGTTTAATAAATATAGGAAGTACTAAGTCACCGTTAGTTTTGTGTGTTTTTTTCAAATAAATATTTTTTCTTGTAACCGTGAACCATAACTATCCAACACTAGAGCATCGATAAAATTACTTGGGTGCGATAGAGTGTTAAACAATTACTTTTTAAATTTAATACAAAATGATCACCCTGCTGATCTGCTACTTGGTACATAGCAGATTCTGATCAGCAACATCACTGGATGATGGTGCAACATGTTTTTCTTAAACGTTCGACACAAGATGTATGAGTAAGTAGATCAAGATAAATATAATACAATGAACCTTTTTTTTTGTTTTCTCCTTAAAGTTGAACAAAGGAATTTTTGATAAAGAGAAGGCTATGGATTATGCAAAACTTTACGTAACTGATGAAACAGTTTTGGCGCAAATAAAGGAAAAGAATGAGGATTGCACTAAAGGTTTGATTTTTTTAAGACTCATAAATATTATTTGTCTACTATGTCATGTTAAGTATGATATTTTTTAAATGGATCTGCTTTTACTTCAAAAGAAATGTGTTTGCCGTGGCATCACTCTGGTCGAGATGGCCCATATGTACCAAAGGACAATTCTCCCAAGGTGTTCAGCGTAGAAATCGTAATTCAGAAAAGCTTTTTTGACTGCATGCATGATCTAGTGGTTTAAGCGGTCACCTCGCCGCTTCCTACTGCGCTGAGTTTTGTAGGTTCGATCCACATATGGGACAATACTTTGTGTGATTCACGAATTGTTGTTCTGAATCTGGGTGTTCTTTGTGTACGTTTCATGTATGTTTGTAAAGGCCCCGCGATATATTCCTAATGAAGAAGGTGTTTTTTTTGGAAAACAAAAAGTAAATAAATATTGTTGTGCAAAAAAAATTCGCCCGTCCTTTTGCCATTTTTTGATTTGATTTTAAAAGATTACTCAGTCCATAACAGGAAAGCCTATTTGTGTCTGATCATTCAGACCAGTTATGATATTTTCCAAATTTTCATTTCTTGGTTAGATTCTAATGTAAATATAATATTAATTATTTTTAGTTAACGATATAGACATCGGCGATGGAGACACGAGTTGTAAGAGAGCAGCTTTGCTTTATAAGTGTATAAGCTCTCATGAGGGTGTAATATAGGTAAGGATACACAAGTCTTGGCATGCTTATAGAGTATATTTTATGTGAGAAATGACTCAAATAATGTCAGTTAAATCATGAGTGCTAAGCCAGAGGTCGTGGCTTCGATTCCCACCCTTTAAAAATAATTGTGTGGTCAGCATGATCATTTGCTTTCTGTCTGAGTGTATTTAAAAATATATATATATGTTTATCAGCAGTCGTTTAAAGAACAGAGTCTGTCTACTTAGGAAACAGACGGCAGTGTGTGAAAGGTTATTATTATCTTTTTATTAAATTTAACTAACAGAAAAAAATAACATATTTTATTGTAACTTAAAGTTCTTAGTAATATTCTAAATTGATCAAGCAAGACCAACGATCACATACCCACGGATAAGTGAAAACTGTCCATCATTCATTTGATATTCCTGGATTTCAGACAGGTACTGGCGATTGTCCACGATGGCCACTGTGCGCTGGCTGCACGAAGCCGAAAAGCGAATTAAGTGGCGTGCAATGGGAGAGGCGTATGTCCAGCAGTGGATTGTGTTAGGCTGATGATGATGATGTTGACTGGCCACGAATAGATCCATTATCTATCAGTTTTAGTCCCTTTGAAAACATTAAAATTGTATTGATGAGAAATGAGAAACGAAATTCTCATTTGAGCTCAATCGGTGCAGACTTTTTGAAGCGTAAACAAACGTACTTACCATTTTATATAATATCTAGATTCTAAAGAAACATTTATTTTAAATGTTAATTAATTTTAAATACAGATTCTTCACGACCACGAACTGCAGAAATATGCTCAAACCCTAAAGGACGTCGGTAAAATTAATCTGTGTTACTTTTAAATTCCGATATTATACAATTAACTAATTGTTATGTTTTTTAATTATTGTGTTGTAATGATGAAGTGTACAGATGCATGTCAGCCATTCTTCTGAGCATGATCACTCACCTATCCTCAAACACTATTTTCCCGTACTTACGCATACAGTGAATTTGTTACTTCATTCAGGGCGCAACGCATTTTTAAACCCCCTAACTAAGGTCCCTAATACTACTCTACTTAATCAATAACCCCAATTTAAAATTTTCCCCTCTCATCTTTAAGTGGTTTAGGTATATATACAAAAAAAAAACTTATCACAATTTGAAAAGCCCATCTTAATCAGTCTTAAACCTAGTCTCAGCACTAATTCAGTTTGATTGCAACTGCCATCTACGCCATAGTCATTCACAAATTACTTATTCCACTACGTTATTCTGTGAAGAATGTAGGCCCGATCGCTTATATTATTTTATGAAACAAGGGACAAACGAGCAGACGGGTCACCTGATGGAAAGCGACTACCGCCACAAATGAACGCCTGCAACTCAAGAGTCAAAAGCGCGTTGCCGGCCTTGAGATGGGCTCTTTCTAGAAAGTTTGGAGGTAGTATCAATCTAGAGATAAGTAATGATGTATAAAATACGAAAAAGAAAAAATAAACAGCCCCTTATCATTTTTTAAGTATTTTTCTAGTGGTGGTGCACTCAGTTGCACGCTATGGATACCGTGTCCCATATATGTAACACTCACATATTAGGTAAGAGGTTTATGGTTTGAAGATCTTTACTCTCATTAAGACCATTAATATTCATAAATTAAAATTGATAAAGAGCACAAAGATAAAATTATAACAAAACCAAACTCATACGAAGAAATGAATAAAAACAAAAAGTTACCCTGGCCGATTAGCACATACGGACGGTAACGCGGGTAGTTTATTTGAACTATTTCCTTTTAAAATTTTGTTTTCAGCACTGGCAACCCTGACGATAATTCGATTGGTTTTTTGGCCATTTTATTGTATGGTTCATTGATCATACGTGTATGTCAAAAAAGTTTGTGCAGTGGACACGTGCCAACTTTAAAAGCATTCAATTTAGTCGTGGCCCATTAATGGTGCACGCACGTGTGAACGTATGAATACGTACTTTGTTATACATTAGTGATAAAAATACCATTCCACCTTGAATACAGTTGAGAGAGGAATTTGATAATAACAATGTAGTATTGCACGATATCATTAAGTATATTATTTTTTTCAAAATATGCTTTCATTATGGAACGTTATAATACAATCTTCCCTTAAAGATATATTTCATCATCATCATCAACAGCCTTTAATAGTCCACTACTGGACATAGGCCTCTCCTTAGAAAGGAGGTTTTGGCCTACTATACCACGCTGGCCAGACGGGTTGGTATAGGGTTTGTGTCAAGTTTTCCTTCTTTTTGCAGTGCTGGTGTCCTGCGTTGTTATGCGCACTTAGTCGCCTTTTACGACACCCACGGGATGAATTGGGGTAGTGACCTTCCGTATTTTTAATCCGTCACTACACGGACTAACAATAAAGATATATTTAGTGTGTTTTTACTTGACCTAAACTTATTATTACTATTATTAGTTATAATGGCAACGAAAACAAAATGTATTTCAATCTGGTAAGTTTTAATAACACTTTTAACCACGTTGGCGCCATAAGCAGCGTGAATACCATGAAAGAGGAATAGACAATAGTATCTTATATCATGTTTGTGATTCAAGATGAAACAACATCACTGTAAATGTCGACCTTCAATTTGATTTATGTCACACCATTGTGTCCACAAAAAATGTTTAGTGGAATATTGAATCATCATAATCATTCACTGCTGGACATAGGCCTCTCCTTAGAAAGGAGGTTTTGGCCTACTTTTACCCTGCTGGCCAGAAGGGTTGATGTAGGGTTTGTCTCAAGTTTTCCTTCTCTTTGCAATGCTGTTGTATTGCGTAGTTTGCTCCTTTAGTCCGCTCAACAACACCCAAGAGATGATTAGGGGTGGTGGAATCCGTATTCTTAATCTGTCACAACACGGTGTACCATTGAACATACACGTAAAATTAAATGACTGACCGACTGAGTATTTTTATATTATATTTATGTATAACATGATGGTGATGGTTTTGTAATAATAATTGTTTTTTTTTTTTTAGAACTAACACATTTGTTTTAATATTGTTAGGGGAGACCGCCTGCCTGTCTGTTCGTTTAAGGCTTAACTTAGAGACCGCTAGAAATATAAAGTTATAATTATGCATGAAATAAATTATTAATCAGTGTATAATAAATAGTAATTTGGCCGATAAAGTGGTAAAAAAGGTAGAGTAAATTTTAGTTTATTTTTTAAAGGGGGGGGGGGGGGGGGTTCTTAACATTCAGTAAGCACTTTGCGAAATATTTAACTTTTTTAAAGTCAAGTGTTCCCATCAATTTAAACTGTTGGTAGGAATCTAAGATAATATGTTATTTGATGTTAGTACTTGTAACTTGTTTAGTAAGAAAACATGCTGATAAAACCCGAGACAGCGTGAGGACTGACCTTGGAATGTTTTTTTTCAATTGAAAATCAACATTAAATTTTATTAAGTGCGATATAATCAATTAGCCGGCAGTATTATTGGCCATTCACGGCCAAGAAGACTATCGGGGATTTCCGTATGAAGCCATAAAACTAGCGTTGGCGACGTCCAATTGTAATTATGGCAATATTAAGGTATCATCTTACTAAGGTATATTTTTGTTGGTTGTAATAAAATATTACAACCTGCATTGGTTGTTTTCTTTCAAGTAAAAAAATACTACAACTGTTTCAGTGTGATTTTATCAAATACCAAATAACTGCATTTTTAATTTTCCAATTAATAATATTTCATCTGTCACTTAAATTGAATAACCAATTAATATCAAAACGGAAACATGAATATTAATTAAAAATTACTTAGACATAATATTAGTGATTAAATAATTGTATTGTGTTTCAAAAAACTTTTTAATGATTGATACTCTTTCTGATTGAATTGAGTTACTTATTAGGTTATATTCAGCATTTAGATGATGGAACTAATTACAGGTTCCTATAAATTGTTGGTTGGACTACTACGATGATAGATCTGCTATTTTCATGAATTACTTTTTGGAGGCTATCCTCCAAAAAGTAATTCATGACTTAATATTCAGATTATAGTAAAAGTGATTCAAAGTATTATTTAAGTTACCTACATATTTACATTTAATACGTTGATTCGTACTTAGAAACTGTTTTGATTAAAGAAACTATTGAAAAGTAAACTGCCATCTTAGCTTAAGTTTCTCAATCTATGATTAAGATATAAACAGAAGAAATATGAAAATTTTAACCAGTGTCATTCAGGAGGACAATACAGACAACACAGGAGGAAAAACTTTAGATTACATTACATTTAGTTGTACGTATTATCTGTGTAGTGATGAATTAATAATACGGACTGTCACCACCCCTATTCATCTAGTGGGTGTCGTAAGAGACGACTAAGAGAGCAAACTACGCAGGACAACAGCACTGTAAAGATAAGGAAAATTTGAAATAAACCCTTTTGTTTACCTGTGGAAACCTCATCATCCACCGGGGTTTGCGGCGGGTGGTGTGTCGACATCGGACCGACTAAAACCACAAGGTACTCTGTAATAAGAGGGAACTGGGAACTCCTGTTATTAAGACATCCGGCCTCCTCCTAGCACCTGCCTGCAATAGCGGGCAGCTGCCTTTTGCCTGCAATTTCTCTATTTAGGCGCCGTTCCTCCTCGCGGCAGGCCGTTATGGCGGGTGGAGGGGAAAATTTGTCCCGTCCACCCGCGGGCACACTTAGGGTGGCATGAGGCGTTTGTAAGCACGCCTCCATCAGGAAGAAATAAAAAATTGTAACAAGAATACTAGAAAAATCTGGTTTTAAATTAACTCTATTAATGGGTGGGTAAGGAGAAAAATTGTTTGGACAATATTATATTTTAGTAATTTTAGCAATTTTCGTAACTATTATGGTCGAAGCTGTACCAAATATTTAGTTCTAACCATTTACAACAGTCTTCCTGTAGATATTGAAAGTAGTTTCGTGTCAAAACATTCATTCAAAAGTAAAATAACAAAGTTCCTCCTAAGTGTAGTCA